CAGGGGAGGTCTTGGACGTTATTCTCGAAATGTTGAAACAGATTCATCTCGAGAACGGGAGTGAAAGCTGTGCTACATGCTGGATGCGAGATGTTTGCAGCATTGCGGTTTGTTCTAGAAAGTGGTCCAAGGCTGCACGCCTGGCGCTGTAAGTTGATGAATCCCCTTGATGGATCCGGCGTTCTTGTAACGGAGGCTAACTATAGTCAAGATACCAAGATATTCAATTAAACGGTCCCGATTCGGCAACCCACAAGAAGAGGTTCAAGATGATACAAGGGTGTCGTATGGCGCTTCTGCGACGCACTTTGAGAGCCAACGCCGAAATTGCGTCAATGGTACGCTCACTCAAGGTTCCTGCGCCTGAAATCATTGCTGGCACGTCAACTGCCAAGGGCTCGACGGCATTTGAGCAGTATGAAGACAATGTGGCGGCATTGGTAATGGCCTGTCCCAACCTTGAGAGGCTGTCGGGGCCAGTATTTACCTATGACCATTCCTTCAAGAGACTGTTTCATGCCTTATCTACGAGAGCAAATTTGAAAGACATGAACTGGCTGATTGAACCATGCGACTTGACAACAAATCAAATGGCCGTGGCCCCCAGCAAAGACTGCACTCTTGGGACCAACAACGAGCTCCAGACTCATCAGCAGATTGCCTTTCTGGAACAACATCGAGGCTGGGCCAAATTAACTAGCCTGTCTGTAGAGTGTTTACCCGACGCAACGCTTGCGCCTCAAACGCTGCTTGCCAGAACCCTCACACTTCTCCCGTCGCTGCAGCATCTACACCTGTGCAACTTGCCACCGAGTGCATTCAACGATGTCAATCTCCTATCTCTCCCCCCGTTACAAAGCTTGACTCTTTCCAGTATCCGCGGCATCTCATCCAATGGCCTTTCATCCTTTGCGACACGATCTACCAGCCAACCTCTTCGACGGCTCGTTCTTCGTCACACACCGCTCACTTCATTGCCCGCTCTCGCGCGCATCTTGTCCAACCTGCAGTCCCTGTCGACTTTTTCACTGGTGCAGTCTTTTCCCCCTTTAATGCCCGAGTCAGACTCATTTACTCTCTGGATGATGCCATACTTGGCGTCGAGGAGCGTCAAGAAGCTGCATTGGGATATTACCAGTCATCCCGAGTGCAGCAATGCCGCGGACAACATTCTCGCGAGGAGCATCGGAGCGGGTGGGTTCCCCTCGTTGAAAACCCTACGAGCGCCCAATGATCCGGACGGCATATTTCAAGAGTTGTGTCGACCGGTGGAAAGAATCGACCTGCCGGGCGACCGACTCCGAACCATGTCTGTCTCGGAATCCGGAAGCGTGCCCAGCTCCCCGATAAAGTTTCTCTCCAAATCACCCACGACGAGCTCGCTGCCATCCATCATGTCCATCAGCCCTCACACCAACCTCGTCGTGGCGCGGCTGGCTGCCCAGGCACGTCTTGATCGAGCGCGCGACTCCTACATTTTTCAAGTCAATGTCACGGACGAAGAGGGTGACTTGGTCGAGACGTTTGGGCTCGCGGGATACATTGGTACTGTGGGCAGCGAAATCCACTACCATCTCCTTCCGGATGAGGGATCTAGCGACGAAAAGGGAGGTCTTGTCGATGTCCCTGATCTGCGTGACGACTTGGGTGACGGCCCAGCTGTGGGACGGACAGGATGCACGGGAAGCTGGAACTGGCGAGAAGGTGTTGTTGCTGATAAGAGGGAAAAAGAAAGGTGGTGGCACACTGAGAGAGCACGGTGGCGGAAAGTCGAGCTTTGAGGTTAACGACGACTTGTTCTCACGACGGACTAGCATTAATACCACTTTGTTATACCCACACGCACAGCAATCTTATTTTTTTGTACTTGCTACGTGTTTGCCCAAATCAAAAAGACAATGACAATGAACAAGAATGAGAGCCCCCTACAACCTCGGTTCCCAACTTCCCATCATCCCGGCTCAACCACTGCTGAATTTCCTGCTGGCGTTGTGTTTCCTCAAGCTCCCCCGCATCCATGTACCACCTCTAGATGTGTCTAGGTAGGCAGCTACTGGGTGCGTTGTTGTCTGGACTTGATCTCTCGGTCAAGGAACGTTGCCGGATCGCAGCAGGGGACGCAGTCGCGCGTCTCGAACTCGCTTTTAAGCTTGACTGCATGCGAATACTGCTTCAGTAACAGATCCTTGAGCGCCGCGTTGAAGTCCTCTGGTACTGGGTGTTTTTCTTGCAACTCTTTGAGTTGTCTGCGAAACTTTCTGTCCTTGGACATCTTGTGACATGTCGTCATGGGTTTTTCTCTGACATTCTGGATATTGCAGCGTCGGCAGGTGCAGCACACTTGACTGTATTCGCACATCTTGGACAGCCGTCTGTTGCAAAAGGCCAGTTGTTGAATGCGGTATCGGGGTGGGAGACTTTCAAGGGTCAAGCTTGGATGGGTTTGAAAGAAGATGCCGTGTGCAGAGAATGGTGTCGCTCGGCTTGAATCCGGAGTCGTAGGGGTCTCCCGGCCCTTTTTGTACCTTTTTTAGAGTCATATTCACTGGCCCTGCCTGCTCTTCTGGTTTGCTTCTGCACATCTTGTTCTCGTTGCGGTTGTGCTCTTGTTCGTGCTTGGTTGCGCGTCGACTCGGCCAGACTGCCTCTGAACTCTTTGAGCCCGTTGTGTTCCCGGCCACCGTCCTTGTTTACCTTTGTAAGCTAATAATCAAGGGGAGCAAGTTCAAATCCTCTTCGCGCTAGATCACGACGTGTCGCATCTGACGCTTCAGGTTTGTCAGGAGTAGCTCCGCGATCACAGAGTCCGCCCTTCTTGCGAAATAACTCGCTCCGCACGTCGAAGTTTCTGTTCCTGGGTATTCCTGATATCCGCTGCGTAATGTAATAGATTTGTGGCCTAGCTGTAAGGAGGCGGTTCAAGTTTCCCTACCTATAGCTGGCCACCGTTCTGCTCATCTAAACTGCGTCTGAAGACGCATGTATTCATTCACCGTCAGACACACAGACTCACTGATTCGGCTTGAGCAACAAAATCAAACGACCTTTTATGTTTCTATTGACAAATACTCTTGATCTGACAAACTTGATTCACCGGGCATCCGTTGCGCGTAAAAGACGATGCCTTAAAATCTCCAAATATTTAACACTCTTTCCCTTGGTTTCCTCAGCGCTTATCAGCAAATCCTGTTCATTCCTGCTGCGAGAACATGTTCCCGCTGATATCGCTTCTCATTCAAACATCTCAGGCAGGGGAACTGAGGCGGCCTTATTTCTTCCCTTCTCATGTTACTCGTGTCCATGTTCTTTGTCGTCTGGCTCCCCCTTTCCGGATATGCAAACGGGGCAGTCCGCTGTGATAGGAGAGTTCTCATCATTCGAAGGAGGCACGGGCGGCCTTATTTCTTCCCTTCTCATGTTACTCGTGTCCATGTTCTTTGTCGTCTGGCTCCCCCTTTCCGGATATGCAAACGGGGCAGTCCGCTGTGATAGGAGAGTTCTTATCATTCGAAGGAGGCACGGGCACAATCCTAAGCTCGTGTGCCCTTCCAGCTAACACTAGAGCCCTGCCTCGGTCGCAATATTCAACGTCGTGGTATTTGATGAATAGCACCCCGCAAGAGCAATTGGCGTATGACAACTCTTGATGGCACATGTTGATCAGATTGTACTTATTCTGGCTTCTGTGCGGTCGTTGTGTTGGACGTAGAAATGTTGACCAGGTGCTGGTTGATTTTTGCGATTTTGACTCATGGCGAAGCGGGAGAATACGAAGCCTTTTATAAAAAAAAACCAAGGACACTATGACGAGTTCAGCCAACATCATGGTCAGCATGAACACCAAGGTGTTTTTGGTGTTCATTTATAGTTTGCCACATGTCCAGGGACTGGTATAAGTTGTCCAGTAGAGCACGCACCAGTTTCGGATCTGCGCGTCTTTAACAAGGACCACGCGAATGTAACCCTGAGTAAGTTCATAGTTTGAGGAGATGTCAAAAATGCACCGATTCACACAAAGTCCCCGCGGCCCGCCTCGACTAAGAACTCACCCTCCACACATTAATAGCCAAGCCATTCATTGAAAAGGAGTGCCAATATTTCAATCGTGCCCTCTGCAACATTTACATCCTGGGGCATGAACTCACACTCCTCTACCGGCGACCGCTGTTTAAAGGCCACAATTTGTTTTTGCAGCCTCCACGAAACAACAGTAGCCCCGGGCCTGATGTGGTCTGCCACGGCAGAGGGTTTTGTAAAATATGCAAGGGTGAAGCCATAGACCTTGGACACGAAACACATCAAAGTGCGAGGTCACCCATATTCATGGTACTGGGTCTATGTATAGTGTGACGTTTCGTGACAGGACGTCCATCTAATGGCCTCCGCATGGTATGAATCGTGGCATATGCTGATGATGGGGTGACAAGAGCTTGGAGACTTCTCATCTTTGGCTATGCACCCACGATAACTGCTTCTTGTACGCGGGCGGCCTCGTTTTGTCGAGAATGGCGGCAGGCCTTCGACGAGGACAATGCTACTTACGCACCATGCATTTGGGTTACTCGTTGAGAATGAACGGGGTGGCAGGCTGGGTGGATATTGATCCTCTTGATGCGCTCCGACCACACGAAACTAGTTGCTAACGCGGTCTTTTGTTAGATACGATTGCTATATTCGACTTGCACGGGTGGACATGACGAGAAAGTTCCCTTGCGACAGTTTCAGAGAAATGGGCTGGCGAGCCCAGCAATACTCTATTTCGCCTTTGTTATGGCCGCGTGGTCTATCTGTTGCTTGATGAATATGGACTCTTCCAATCCAATAATATATTACTTGTTGAACTCCGTCGCCAGATGCAAAATTATATCATACCAGATTAAAAAGAAGATATTTCGGAAGGTTCGAAGCCGATCATTTATAGAATCGCCTACTTTATGCCCCGAAAATGCAATAGACTACGCATGTCTGGTTTTTTGAAGTGAAAAAAAAAATAATGCTGATTAAAAGAAAAGACCCTTTTTCTTTGCGGCAGGTTTCTTCGTAGTCTCGCCGAGAATATCGTCGAATGTAGCCCCCGCCGTAGCTGCCGGCTTAGTTTGAGACACAGGGCTTGCCACTCGAGTAGTCATGCCAGCAAGATTGCCTACCGAAGCACTTCGAAGGCCGAGATGGCTACTTGGTGGACGAGGACCAATGGAACTGCTGCGGTTGTGACTCCCAAAGACATTCGGTGGAGGTTCTATGGGTACTGGCTCAAGGCCCATTGCGATACTCGATCGAGAATACTGCCGACTTCGATGAGCTGGAGATAGATTCCGGGAACGCGATGCAGGTCGCGGGCCACCAGGCGGCGGTGACGGAGTGCTTGGGCCACCAAAAACCGGCGGACTATTCATCGCAGGTTCTCCGGGAAACATGGGCTGCGGTGGCTGCAGGGGAGACATTGGAGGCTCCTCTGGCGGAACAGCATCAACTCCATCAAGACCCTCCCACTGTTTTGCGGCAAGCCAGCAGTGACTACGATGGTATGTGGCTTCAACACTGAACATGACGGCGTCTGCAGAAAGCTCCACGATACCGCCGCCGCCAGTGACCTCATACCACATTTTGCGCACTTGTCCATCCTCAATCCAAGGCAGGTTGCCCATAGGAGGCTCACAAAGGAAGTACTCGACGCCTTCAGTGTGTTTTACTCCCGGAGCGTCTACGACAAGCATGGGCAGAGACTGAAGCACAACGTAGAGGAACAACCAGTACCCAATGCGCTGGTCCACCAAGTCTTGCGTAACTTTGCCTCTGCCCTCTCGAATCTCAAAGTCCTTGAAATGGTCAAGGAACGGCAGCTTAATACGGTTCGCGTCGTAATTGTAAGCTTTGTTCAAGATGAGAATCAGTTCGTGCTCTTTAATCTTCTTTTCCATTCTGTTCTGGTCCTTTGGTGACATGCTGTCAAATGTCTCGTGGATTGCTTTCATTGAAGGGAGTTGCGGGAGATCAAACGGAATCGGTGGCAAAACTGGGGGTTTGGAGCGATCGAACTCGGAGAGGATGTTTCGGAGAGCAGATATTGTCATTTTACTTGGTTCGTCAGAAATAGCTGGAGTCTCGTCCATGACCCGAGACGTCAGGCTATTCCGATCAACCAATAAATCGTACAAGGCGCACATGTCGGAATACAATACCTTGAGGACAAGCCTGTTTAGTCCACTTTCGGCGAAGGGGTTCTTCTTGTTGCTAGCCTTGGGTGGCCAATTCCCAAACGTTGACTTGTAGTGATGGAGCAGGAATTGCCGCATCCGACTGAATGAGTTTCGCCATATCTTGAATCGCACCTGCCTGAGCTCAGGAATAGAGGTTGAATTGGCGATGCCTGCGAAAAGTGACGGAAATTCAAACTGCTCTAGGTGTTCGTTCACATTATGTTGTCTGTTGACGAGATCCAAGTGCGCTCGTTCCAATCTCTGACGAGTGAGCGGGGACACTTGCTCAAACAATGGCAATCGCAAGTCAATGATTGCAGAGTATTTGCCAGCAGCATGAGCAAAAGCCTCGTTATACAACTCAACACATCGCATGCGCTCACCCAAAATGAGCGACTCTATCGTCTTCTCGCGACTGTGGCGACAATCCGAAATGCCCAGTTGCTCCAGGTAGAAGCCAAAGCTAAGTTCCACAGCTTCACCAAATGTGCTACCATCGGGGCTGGAGAAGCCAAACTCTTGCAGCAGACCTGCGAGCTCGACAAAGGCGTGGAAAGTGGTGGGATGAGACTTGGTTGCAACCAATGGTTGTCCCGTGAGGAAGGCAAAGAGATTCCTGATGGCAATCAATCGACCTAGCTCTGCTGGCGCTCCTCCGCCGGGTGCAGCAGGAATATAGAGGCGCAGCGCATTTGACTCTTCTGCCACAGATGGCCCAATTGATGGTGATGAGATACGGTTGGCATCGTCAACACTGAGGTTATCGCGACCCCCAAAGCTCGACGCCCTGTCTCCGGGTGATTCGGCATTTTGTTCAGTATAAATGAGCTCATTGAAGACATAAGACGTGCCAACGACAAACTCTGGTACTTTGAAAGAGGGTCCAAAGCCGCTCCCTCGGGGGTACAGGTATACGTATACATTTCCATTCTCGTTCCATAACTCTGGAACCTACAAAACAGGTCAGAAATGAGCCAAAAAAAAAAGGGAGGTTTCGAAGAATGCTTCGTTTTTACCTTTTCGCCGTTTCTTAAAAATGAAGGGTTGTATTCCGCGTGGGTGTCATCCGACATGATCCAGGCTTCAGGTTTGACGGCATTGGTGACTTCTGAGTTGGAACGAGATCGCGCTCCACCTGGCAGCCAGCTTCGGCGCAATTTGGCCCTCGTCGGACTTTGGCTACCATCATGAGAAGATGCAGACCGAGAATTTGGCGCTAGTGATCCGGACCCGGACGGGGCCAACGACGTCTGGCCAGAGATGCTTCTGCGGCCCCTAGACTCGGGATTAGGGGACGTTTGCCGTGGGTAGATGTTGCCGTGTTGTGGTTCGGATAATTTGGGCTGAAACAACGAGTTTCTCCTTGGTCGGGATTTAGTATTATTATCCTTTTGCAACTTGGCCTGTTTCTGGGACTCGTCTTCATTGTCGGCAGCGCCACTGACTTTCCATGCGTCCGGTTGTGTGGCAGGTTCTTGCTGTGTCAACGAGGCATGATGGGAGTCTGGAGAGGGCGGGATCGGAGCAAGAATTTCCGGTGTCTGGTGCGTGGAAAAGGAGATTGCAAACTCAGGGACTTCTGGCGGTTCAGACTCAGGTATAGGCGGGACGGTTCGTATTTGGGCTCGTACTTGGGCTCGAGGCGATTCTTGTGGGTGAACAGCCGCCGCGCCGTTCCCCGATGCTTCCACGCTGCTGCTGGTTTTACTTCTCGAACCACTGCCCTCATCCTCGGCCTCCAATGCAACGTATGGCGGCGGCGGGGGTGTTTGAGGTGGTGGTATCATGTTGAGTGCCACGGGCTTCCGGTTAATGGACACTGGTTGCGTGTCTGCAGTGTCAGGTGTGAATAGAGGAAAGAGTGACGATACACGAAGGCCCCAGGAAGGTGATTTTCGGAAATGAGGATTCGGAAGAGGCTGCGCGGGCGATGGGTCTTGTTGCTCTTGCTGCCCTTGCTGGCCTTGTTGCTCTCGTTGCTCCTTGGTCAAGTTGGTGGCGGCGGGCGCCGGGGTTGTGGCCGTCGCTGACTTGGATTCTTCTTTCAGGTCCCTGGCCGGCAATGGTCTGCCCATGGGTAGGTGCGCAGTTCCTTTGTGCCAAAGCGTCCTCCGCTTGGATTTTTCGGGGTCGGGGGATGGCTTAGAGCTGGAGTTGCAGTCGGCGTTGGACGTGGATCGGAATGAAGGAAAGGAGAGCGAGGAAGGAAGCATGGATGCTCTAAAAGACTTACTGGTGGTCATACTGAGCAACACATGACCATCCGGCCCGCGGGTAAGTCTGACATACAGCAGGCTAAAAGGAAGAGCAATCAGGATGCTGCCAAACAGACAAGGAAAGCCGACGGGATGAGAAGACTATAATAACGGAAGACGAGTTCAGGCGGGCAACCCCCCTCCAGAGTACGGCGTACGGAGTACAGAGCAGTTGAAGGGGAAACGTGGATCTGTTGATGAGCAACGCACCAGGGACTGGGATTGTGATTTTTTCGGACGGGGAACTTGAGGTCACAGATACACAGCGATTTGCCCTGCAACGAATCAGCTCAGCCCAACATGGTTTGTGCCCATTAGTTGGGGGGCACATGGAGGCGGAGGCAAAAGTAAAAAGTACTTGTACACACCTTGGATACGGCGGTGGTGAATGTGGGCTGAATGTTGTCTGGTCCGTCCTATTACTCGGCAGGCGGAACACGGCAGGCAGCATGGGGCCTATGAAGGCACGAGTGACGCAAACTGCCACGCAGTCGCGAGGTGCTAAGCCGTTATTTTACGAGACACCCGCGGATATTGGAACACGACGCAATAGAGGATTTCGGAACGACGGATGATGGCCCACGGCGTGGCGGTACCTACGGTAGGTAGGTGCGTGGGTGAGTACCTGGGTACCCAAGCAAAGCAAGGTAATTGAGGATCGAGAGGGCCTGGTGAGAGGTCTTGGCAGTGGGGGCTTGAATGACGTTTGGCCGGTTGGCAACAAAAGGGGCCGCCAGGCAGGGATAGAGAGGGAGACAGAGTCGATCGAGAGTGTCTCATCCCCAACGGCTAGTCGGATTGTATTGTACAGACTGCCGACCATCGACTAGTCTGCTGTGGACAAAGTGTCCATACCACAGATGCGCGCCATGTCGATGGCTTTAAGGATAATCACGGCAGGTTCAAAGTTTTTGTACGGCTTGGCAGTGTGTGGGTAGTTATACGCACGAGACTTGGATACCATCCGTTGCCAAAGCCTTGAGACCCGACCTGTGCCGGCCAGCTCGCTGTAGGTGGACAACGCATGTATTTGAGGATGCAGATTTCAGGTGTACAAGCCCTGTACATGCCCTGCGCTGCAAGCACTCCTGTCGCCCTTGTTGCTTCCTGCTTCTTCTCCTTGGACCAGCGCACATCCCTGCTCGGTCATGTGGATCATCATATTTTCGGTCATTGGACCTGCAGCCTTGGACGGGTCAATCGCCTGCAGGGTTTCATCTCAGTCATCTTTGTGCATGCGGATGGATGCGGCGTTCTAATAATAATGGCCTAGCAACGTGCTGTGTGGCCACGAGCACGTTGAGCTAGCAGTTGGGGGCTTGAGGAAGAGGCCACCACTGGACAGGTAACTTTAGAAACTGGTCTGGAACCTCGCATGCACCCATCTACCCACGGAGTACCTGGCACGCGGGTTGCAAAAAAGGCCGCACACCCCCCACCCACAACCACACATACAGCTGTGCGGCCTTTTTTGCAACCCGCGTGCCTGGGTGCCTCGCTCCTACGAGTAGGGACCTACCCTAGGTGGATGCGGGTGCGTTAGCTAGCGTCTCGGG